TGAGGATTTTAAACAGAAGCCAAAAAACAGTTCCTAATCTAATGTGTTCCCCATTTCTTACCTTAGTTCATATTATTTATTTTGCTTAGAATGTCCTCAAATTTGTAGAGGAGGAAAAATATCTTTTTCCTCTACTCTTCTAAGTTCTTGGCTAGGGTCCCTTTAAACAAAAGATTAACAAGAGAAAGCATACAAGTATATTTAATATAATTTTACGTGACAAAGAAGCCATAACCTGTGCTTTTATGCTATATTTGATGAAGAATGGAGAGTTGTGGGAAAACATAGAATGAAAAGGGTATAAGTTAAATGTTGTAAACTGAGGGAAACAGCAAATCCTGTTAGTTCAGATTCTTCTCTGTGTCCCTTAGTCTTTGGAGATAAGGATGCTGCTCTTTTCCTCGGGGTATGGGGAGGGCTTCTCTCACTTGAGGGTTTTATGACCTAATTCAGGGAAGGGTCATGTTGTTTCTCAATTTCCTTCAGCTTAAAATATTTAGTATTGAAATTGTTAAAGATTTTGCTTACCTAGGTTCAGTCATCAATTCAAATGGGGACTGTAGCCAAGAAATCAAGAGAAGGCAGAGAGAAGGAAGGACAGCAATGGAAGAATCAAAAAAGATCATCAAGAGCAAAGATGTGTTATTAGAGGCTAAGTCAAAGATCATCTGCACCCTCATATTCCCAATTACTATGCAGAGATGTGAAAGATGGACAGTCAAGAAGGCTGAAAGGAAAAAATTTGATTCATTTGAAATACAGTGCTGGAGGTGAGCTCTGTGGATACCTTGAACCACCAGAAAGACAAACAAGTGGGTCCTGGGACAAATGAAGCCTGAAACATCGCCAGAGGCAAAAATGACAAAACTGAAGCTGTCCTATTTCGGGCACATCACGAAAAGGCAGGGTTCTTTGGAAAAGATAATAATGCAAGGAAAAATGGAAGGCAGCAGGAAAAGAGGAAGCCCAAATGTGAGGTGGATTGACTCCATAATAGAAGCCATAGGCCTGAGCCTATAGGAGCTGAGAAGGACAGGACATTGTGGACATTACTCATTCATAGGGTCACCAGGAGTTGGAGCTAACTCATTGGCATGTACCATATTTTGGAGCAGCATGTTCTGAACCACATCACATTGTTCTATTATGTATCAGTTACCTATTACAACAGTCATTCTGTATAACAGAACACCCCCAAATTTACACTTATAGGCTTGCAGGTCTTTTGGGAGTTGACTGACCTGGGCTAAACTTAGCTGGGTAGCTCTGCTTGACACTGTTGGTCTCGCTGGGCTTGGCTTATTATTGTGAGCTTTGGGCTTAGTCTGCTCTATATATGTTCATTCTGAGCCCAAAGTTAGAGGGGAAGCAGCTACCCAAAGTGCAAAAGAACAAGCTCAGCTAAGCTCACGTTAAGCCTTTGCTTGCATCAGATCTGTTAACATCCCTATGGCCAATGCAAGTCACATGGCTCAGTCCATAGTCCAGGGGTGAGAAAATACACTCCTCTTCAGGTAGGAGAAGCTACAGAGTCACATGGCAAAGGATGTGGCATCAGGGGTGGTTATGAATTGGGACCAGAAATTTAAGCCCTCATCTTCACATGGCTAAATCCTACTTGCTGCTTTTTTAAAAAATTGATCCTACCTGCCCTTTAAGCTTTATGGCTCAATTCAGATCTTGTCTGTGTGGCTTGCACAATCTTTCAACCAAAAGAAATTGTTCCTTCTTCTGAACTGTTATTTTATTTGTACTCCTCATTAGAGATGTATTACTTTCTATTCATATCCATTATAAATACCTCCTTCTAACATAGGAGGTACTGCAGGGCAAATTTCTGGCTAATTCATTTTGTATTTTCAACTATTTGTATCTAAAAACTAGTAAAGTAATTGTTTTAAATGCGAAAAGTACAATTTTTTTTACTGTGGTAAAATATACATAATATAAAATTTACAGTTTAGCCATTTTTAAGTGTACTGTTCTGTGGCATTTAGTACATTCACAGTGTTGTGCTACAGATTTATTTTTAACTGGGCTTCTGACTTCTCACATGCATGAGACCTGCATACTTCTTTTGGAAGGAACTTGATATGGATTTGTAAAGGAAGGTGTGCGTTTGCACATGCGTGCTCTATATATTTTTCTGGCTTTTCTTTCTTTTTTTTTGGCTTTTTAAAGAGCAGATGTTCTCTGCAAATAATTGTCAGTTTATTCCGTATTCAGACTTGTTTAAGCTTGCTGCCATAGCTGAGGTGTATATTTTTGGATTACAACAATTTAACAGATCCCCTATAGTATGAGTTGTGAATAGGTATGAGGCACACAGCAGAGTGGAAATGGGGAAATGATACATCATAATACTAATCTCAAAGTCTTGGCAGGATAATATTAACATGTATTTTTAGCTTTTAAGAATGAAAAATAGCTTCGACATTCATATTCATCCTAATGTTGAGCATTTAAATACTTTTAATATATGTTTATGGAAGAGCTTGTTCAGAATTCTTTCTGAAGTTTCGTACAGAGAATTCATGTTCTTTCAAGGAGAATGTTGGATATAAATGATAATTTCCAACTGGAAGCAGAAAAATAACTTATTTTATTTGTGGTAGAATTTTCTCCAATCTCATACCATTTTCTGTCATTAACAATCTTACTGTGTTTATAGTCCTTTGGTAAATTTCCTGATATCCATGCTTATAGAATCTTGTGATACTTGATACTCATTAAGTGTCAAGGGACCTTAGCCTTTAGGCTAAGGAAGCAGGAACATTTCTTACAATTCAATGATTTTGAGACATGCTATTGTGTGTGTGTTAAACTTTTTTAATGTTTATTCCAAAGCATGTAGTGTTCGAAGAGTTCAAGTTAGTTAATTAAGCACTTGAGTTAGAGGATGTGAGCTTTGTTTTATCTTTCTGATTCTTTGAGTATATTACTAGACTAGACCCTCCACCCATGTTGTAGCTTCCTCTCTTGAAAGATGTTGAGGGTAAAATGCAAATAGAAAAAATGTGTTATTGTCTGAGGGTAAAATGCAAATAATAGAAAAAATGTGTTATTTTAAATAACTGCTGCCTATTTATCACATGATAATCAGTTTCTATCTTATAATGTCTAACCTAGTAGGGCTCTCTTAATCATAATCCCTTTAATTAGTGTTTAAATACATTTTTAAAACCTCTAGCTATACTTGTGATGATTTTTTTCCTAATTGTTTAATTGATTACCAGTATTTTACGCTTCAACTGCAGTAAAAACAGACCTGTGTGAGAAGCTTCTGTCTCATTAACAGTGAGGCAATTAAATTGCATGGGCTCAGGCCTGTAAATCATCTCCTGTGGTGCCTGGGAATAAGATACACTCAGTAAATGCTAGATCTTGCCCACATCTTTAAAATGGGGTCACTTGCTAAGATAATTCCTGAAACCTAAGCAGATGCTTTGGATCTTTGGGAACAGTGTAAGGCCTTAATATAGGCCTTGAAAAGGAGCATGCACCAGGCTCAGCAGACACTGAAACTGCCTAGGCATTTCTCAGAAGAAAAGACTGAGGAAGAAAGCTCTAAGTGGTCAATACAGAGAGGATGCTCCTTAGCCATTCTATTCCACTGTTACAGAAAGAAAGTCGTTTACATCATAAACCACAGACAGAATCTTTGAGACAGAAACTAGGATTCAAATCTTAACATAGTTACCACTGAATTTTAACACAGTTACTGAATTCCTGCTAAACGCCATGTGTTGTAGAAATAAAGGAGTGAAGGAAGTAGGCAGGTTTTACTTCCCCTCAGGAAGGAGCTCAAAGCAAAGGTGACTACATGTCCCAGTTTGTCTGATAAAGTATGATTAAGTTACAAAAGGGGAAGACAGGTATTAAGAAACTAGAGGATATAGTTAGGAGGCCTGACCTGGTCTGGGGCTGGACATGGAAGACATTTCTAAGGAGGTGACTCTGAAGAGGAGACCTAAAGCATCAGAAAGAAGTGTTGATGACAAGGGTCATGCCTCACTGGCCTCAGGGTCTTTGCAGTAGACCTTTTCTCCCTTTGCCTGGAAGAGAGGATACTCCCACATCCTGTCTCTCTACCCCTCAATATTACTATTACAGGTAAAGCAGAATATGTTTTACAAACAGCAGGTAGCAATTCCTGAGTCACAAAATTAATTTAGTGAGTAGTAATCCAATTAAAAAATACATATTATTAACTATCAAGTACATTGTACATAGTAAGGGTAAATAAGTTAAAACTTTTATTTATATACATATGTGTACTTAGTCACAATACACAGTGACTTCTGTAGATTTTTTAAAACATTTTTTAAACATTTAAATTATAACAAAAAAAATTGTAAATATTTTGTCTAGAACAAGTTAAAATGAAATCACACTACTATCTTAACCTTTGTGATATCATTGCATTTCCAATTACTTATTTAGTGTCTGGAGAAAGTGAGAAGAATGGGAATGTGGCTCAAGCTAAGAAGGAACCAGATTATTAAAGGCCTTGTACAACTTTTTAAGGATTTTGGATTCTATCCTAATATAAATGGAAAGTGATCGATGTGTTAGATATTTTTTATCTAGCTACCATTTTGTTTTATCTCTGCCTCTTTAGGACCACACCCTGAGAAGAGGATGCCTTGTTTTGATGATACTGTTAGTCATACAATTCCCAGAATAAAATAAATTAGGAAAGAATTATAGCTAATTTAATCTCTCTGTATTTGAAAAGATAGCCACTACTTTCATTTTTTTTTTAAACGACTATTTCCACAAGAGAATATGATGCTGACATAATTCTGAAATGGTGAAGTTATAGCAGAATGACTTTTTAAATAAATCAACATGGAATCCTTCCATTTTTCCTTCCCCTGCCCCTAAATGTAATATTATTTGACCACATTGTTTTTTGTTTTTTGTTTTTTTGAGGGTAGAAAATGTCAACATGGAGTAATATTTCCACTGATTTCTGTTAATTTCTCTTCCCCCTTCAGATTTCACCACCCAATCCTCAGTCCTTTGGAAAGCAGTTTCCAGCTGGAAGTCGATGTCCTGAGTCATCTTCTGAAGGCCCAGGCTCAGGTCTCAGAGTGGAAGTTCCTCCCATCTCTGGTTAATTTGCACAATGCTCACACCAAGCTGCAGACCTGGGGCCAGATCTTTGAAAAGCAGCGGGAGACCAAGAAACATCTGTTTGGAGGGCAGTCTCAGAAGGCCGTACAGCCCCCACACCTCTTCCTTTGGCTGATGAAACTCAAAAACATGCTTCTTGCCAAATTTAGCTTTTACTTTCACGAAGCACTGAGCCGGCAAACGACTGCTTCAGAAATGAAAACATTGACTGCAAAAGCCAACCCAGACCTTTTTGGAAAAATTTCCAGCTTCATCAGGAAATATGATGCTGCCAACGTGTCCTTAATCTTTGACAACCGAGGGTCTGAGAGCTTTCAGGGTCATGGCTATCACCACCCCCATTCCTACAGAGAGGCCCCTAAGGGTGTGGACCAGTATCCAGCTGTGGTGTCTCTGCCCAGCGACAGGCCTGTAATGCACTGGCCCAATGTCATCATGATCATGACAGACCGCACTTCTGACCTTAACAGCTTGGAGAAAGTGGTTCACTTCTATGATGACAAAGTTCAGAGCACCTACTTCTTAACCCGCCCAGAACCTCACTTTACCATTGTCGTCATTTTTGAGTCAAAGAAATCCGAAAGAGACTCCCACTTTATTTCCTTCCTCAATGAGCTCTCACATGCTCTTAAGAACCCCAAAGTTTTTGCAAGTCTGAAACCCGGATCCAAAGGTTAGCAAGTAATTTGTGTGAAAGGTCTTCAAGATGGGTAATTGTGTTTTAATTGCTCTAATGATCTACAGTGGTCTGTGATTAGAGTTTCGATCCGTTCATGCTTCTTTCAGAGCTAAATTAAAGACAAATCCTCCTTAATTGTGTCTCACACTTTATATGCAATTAAGGCCAATTGAATTAACTATCCAAAGAGTAATCAAGGAAGTGATCATGGCTACTGTGTATCTCCATAGTGCAGCAAAGTACTCTCAGTATTTTCTCCTGTTTTCCTGTATTTCATGTAGACTGCATATTTATTAGCCTTTGATGTTTCTTTCCAGATGTTTCTTTCCCGATGTTTTATATTACTCTAAACATTGTATTCTAATGCAATTTCAAACACCCTCTCCCTTCCCCTCCTACCTGGATGAGTAATTGGGATGAGAAATTAAATGGTCTTTTTAGAATTAAGGACTGTATGTTTTCTATCTCATAAATTAGCTGATTAACATAGAGTTATTAGTTTTATGATTCTGATCTAAAAATAATATTTTTGATGCCCAAATTAGAGTTTTAGTGAGAAATTTCTATCGGTTATTGGAACTGAAGGTGAATTAAGTAGGATAATAAGATCAGGTTTAACAGTTCAGAAGACTCTATGGCAGCTATATTAGCCATGGGTTCTTTTGGGTTGATCCACGCACCTAGCTGCATTTGTTTTGACCCTTATAAAGTTTGATTTTTTTTCACTCTGTTTTACAGTCAGCATAACCATGGTGTGAGATTTCTTTACTCTTCAGCATATTATCTGCTTGGCTTTTTGTTTATCACCTTTTCGCTGAAATATATGTTCATGTTTGGCTCCACTCCCTGGTTATTTTTAGGCTGAAAAAGCATGCAGTCTTGGTTTTTCAGCCACTCTTAGACATTCATGCAACTTAGCCTTCTTTTATAAAATCAAAATGGAATCACTGTACTTGCTAAAAATCAATTGTGCATTCAGAAGACATCTTCATAGTTGAGTAATCAACTCAGTATTTAAGAGCATCTAAACTTGGGGTGCATGCCTGTCTCCTCCAAATATTTTTAGAAATAGTGATACACCTTAACACATGCTGCCTTAACACTTTCCTTCAGTAGATGTTTGTGGGGAAGAAGGCGTAATGGGCTGTGGAGACCTAAACTTCTTGCTTATTGATTCAGAATAAAAATAAGCCACAAAGAGTAATTGAGTTGTTACTGTTTGATAGTTCCTACAAAGCTTGTGTGCAATGTAATAGTCAGTTCAGTCTTGTTTCTCATGATTGCACAGAGCCATTGTTTTAATGAGCAACCAAAGCAAACAAGGCTGTGGCATCGGCAGAGAGCAGAGGAGCCCCTTCGAGTCTAGTAGGAGGCCTGCCCACCTGTCGGGACCACTTGGTGGAAGAACCCACAGGCCTATTTTCTGAGGAGAACATGTGAGGTTTTTCTTTTTTTTTTCTTTTTCTTTTTTTAAAATAAAAGTCATGATTTGTAAAAAGCCAGTTTGTTTTAAATAGAAAGTACTCATTTACCTCTGCATTTTATTCACTCAGGTTCTATAAAAATCTGAACAGATTGTACAACTTTGACCTTACATAAAAAATTGAAAACTATTGGAACTAAAAAGTCAAATTATTTTTCCTCCCTTTTGTGTTTTGCTAAGCAGCTGAAAAATATTTCTTGGTGTGATTGTATTTTTTTTCCTAAATAAAACACCATTAGCCTTAATAATATGTTCTCCTATGTACCTGAAAGAAAATATACTTCGATGTAACACGGAGAAGAGTGTGAATAAAACATATATACAATACTTAAATAACCAGTCCTCGCCTAGAACATATTTGAATTGTGTATTTATTTTTAAACATTTTGGTTCAAGCCAAGAAACAAGGTCATTTTACTCTGAGATTTGTCCTCTAAATTCAGTAATGATCTGTAAAGTCTATGTTTTGCTAATTGGAAGAGTAAATCTACATATTTTCCACAGACTGCTTATTTTGAAATTTCTTTCCTAAACCACACTTGATCAATTTTTATGGGTAACTGGGAGTGTAGTCAACACTTATAAGTTTGCCAAAGAGTCCATCAAGGAGTGTTTCCTGTTAGGATGTCGTTTAGACACAGGGTGAACGTTTATCACTTTGTCCTTTCTTGGGTCCAACTTGGTACCTAACTATACTTAACTGAGGCGCCAATATCCTTTATGTAATCACTTTGTACATTTGGACATATTGGAGAAAATTTACTTGCAAGAAAGAAAATAGTTGGTACTTCACTGCACTCCCAGTAGAGTCACTTAGGTGATCTTTAAAATATGTCCACCCTTTGATCTAGCAGCAAAATTGCAGTTTTGTTTCTTTGGCAAGTCAGGCTATGAACCTGACTTCCTTACCTGTATAATGGGGATAAGGAAATGTGGGCTCTTTTTCAAAGAATATGTAAGAATGGGATGAGATCATGCATAGAAGAAGGCTTTGAAACTCACTTGGGTTTGAAAGCTATATAAATAAAAGATGGACCACT